CAATGGTCTTTGTCTTTAATTCGCTATCAGCATATTAGGAAATTAATAGCATTCTTTTTAGTGTGATCAAAGTGAAAGTGATAAAAAAGTGAACCTTAACTCATCTGTTTAACGAATCTAAACATGATTTCGAGACCAAATGAATCGTTCCTATTCATAGTTTAGAAGAAAAGAAAATCTTAAAGAAAATGTTTAATGGATAATGATTGCTTACCTTAACTTCATTATACAAATTCCCCGATAAAATTGGTTCACGATTCTTTAAGCCAATTTTGATATGCTTTTTGGCAATTTCAACATAGACATCGCGGGATTTGATGATATGTGGTAACTAATTATGAAAATAAAATAAACTGTAAAATTAATTATGTTGGAAAAGACGATTCGGTAAAGGCACTTTTTATTTTATGAAACCAAACTGCAATAATCTTTACAACTTCTTTGCATCCACATGTTACAGAATAGTAAAATTAATTAAAATTGTATAAGCCGATAGTGAAAAATTACTTTTCAAGCATAGGATAGATAATTCTTGCGGAGAATTATTTATTTGAACACATAAATATTAGTACAAGAGGGCACCAGATATATATGCGCCACACAAATGTGTGAGGGCTTTAATACTGTCCAGACCGAAATAGGTGGTTTCCTTAAGGGCCTACACCCTGAGCCTTTGACCTAAAATTCTGATCCACAAGGTAGTGAAGCATCGTAAGGAGATGCAGTCCCATGGTAGCCGGTGACCAACGACTGGTTTATACGCCCTTTGTTCCTTCAGGATCCTGGAGCCCATATGCACCATTGGTTCTGAATTAGAGCTTTCCAACCCCCCTAGATGGACTTACCGTGTCCACCGACCCGTTTAAGGCTCCAGACATTTGCTTTCCGTCCTCTCAATTTCGTAAACAACACCCTCTCCACGAGAAGGCAGTGAGTAGGACTTCCCTGGCAGAGGCTTCATACGCGTGGCGGCCTGTTTTAACATCTGGGCTACCTGTTTCTGTCATCTAGATATTTCGAACAGTTATCTGATTTCGTTTGTTTTAATACATCATTATGCCTATTAATCGCACAACCTATTCAGGTGCATTTCTGAAAAGTGTAAGACCTTTCGCTGTAAAGGTTACAGAAGGCTTAATCAGAGATATCGTGGTTGCTGGCAATATGCAGCGACAAGAACGTACATTATCCAGATGTCGATTGACTGGGCTGCTAAGTTCAAACTGGCGATCACTCAATATTCATCGTCAGGAAGGACGAAGAAGTAAGAAACGGAAACTTGTTGAAGTACTTTGTGCTGAGAATTCTATATTGTACAAAAAATATAATATTGAATAAAGCTAAAAATAATAATAATAATAATATTGGTAACGTATCAAATATATCTTTCCTATGTGAGAGCTTTTCGAGAGGGAAAGCGAACTCTCCCCACTTTCGGCCGTACCAGGGTATTTGGGGGCTGGGGAGAACCAAGATCCAGTTTTTTTTGAAATAATTAAAACAATTTATTGCACATGCATTCGCAATTTTTATCTTGAAGATAATTTTTCGGAATAAGTCAAGTGAGCGAAAAATAAAAATATAACAAAGTATCAATTTTATTACAAAACTTACGCGTGTAGGGATTTTTATATCAACATCGCTTAGTGTCTGGGTCCAGCTATAATTTGGCAGATCTGCACCATTTCCTTCATTCGGTTTCAATTTTCCCTTGTCTTCCTCCTCTTCCTCATCATCAGGAGAAGAACCAACTTTGATTGGTTTAGGCAGGTCACTTTTCTCAAGTAAAGGTTTTGCTTCTGTTTGTGGTAGTGTGGACGTATCCGACAGTTCTTCACTTGTGCCATTTAAATTATCAGCTTTTGGTAAAGAAAATGAAGAGGAATTAGACAGAGAGAGCCAATGAACAGAAAGCTAGACATTACACAAAACGAATAATAACACTTGATTTTTTTTTAAAAAAAGCGACAGAAAAAATAATGGATATTTTACTAAATAGACAGATTATGAAGTCTCACTGCTCAGTGTTCTGATGCATGTCAATAGGATTATTCAAATGCTAAATTTAATGTAGAAAATGCTTAAAGTTTCGTGATATTGTGATTGATTTTGAGAAATATAACCTAGTGCTTTCAACTACTACCATTTTAAAAGAATTTGGCAAGAAGTTTACACTAAGCAGTAAGAGGTTAATAGCATCAATCATTCTATTATACATCCAGTATACACAACTGTAACTATGGTTTACTGGTTTCCTAACATTACATGAAGTATACGACCTCCAACCCATCAGGTTTACTTTGACAAACTGATTGATATTGTTGTTCTAAATAATGGTGAAAATGGCTTAGATTTTAATGCACATACTTACAAATTTAGTAAATTGCATTACTCATGTTTATTGTACTGCTCACTGTTAACAAAAAATATCACTAACTTTTGCTTAAGTCGTTTGGAGGGGCGAGATTCGCCATAATGGCTTCTTTCTTTTTTTCTTCTCTTCGTTTACGTTCGCGTTCCTCTCGCTCATGTAATTCTTTCTTCTCTTCTTCACGACGTGCTAAGGCAACATCCTATTTATTTCCAGAAAAAAAACATCAAATGCCTGTGAATAACAATGATGAACAGTCTAATAATCAAAGCAATACATATGACTAAAATCTCCGTACAGTGAGGGGTGCTATAAATGGTACTTCACACATTATTGATTCACAGTTGTTGAAAGAAATTGGACTGTTAAGATGGGCCAGCTGAATAGAACTGTGCAAACGAAAAATAAATGGGACTTGATAAGCGAATAATAATGTCCCACTTAAAGTTGTCTTTTATCAACATTGGTCAACTCCGTGCCCAAACTCACTCACAATATAATATTGCATGAGTCATAAAATAGCAGTTCTATATACGTAGCTCTATTGAATGAATGTTGTAAATCAAAAACTATTGTAACATGATGAAATGCTGGTAGGGTGAAACAGATTAGTGAGTGGTTATCGGCAACAATTCCCGATATACAATCGAAGACAGTCCGTCATATGCAACGTGGGACCTGGAATATATGTGCATTGGTTCAAGTTGTCACATCACATTAACACAACGAGATGAAAATGTCAACACAAATCACAAAGTAGTAGGGGTAGTAACAGTGTGAGTAGTAGTAGTAGTATAAAACATTAGGCACAGACAATTAGAGTGGAAAAAATGAGTTCGCCCGATAATAATTAGGTAATTTGAAGCTTAAGATTTGAATGGCAAAAAGTAAACACATTCACGCCACTTAGGATGATTACAAGCCATGTCATCTAACATCTTAAGGAGTAATGTAACTATTTAGATAAATGTCTGCTTCAGTCTGGGCAGTATCACAGCCCTCGCACAAATTAAATGAGATTTGTGAGACGCATATCTATCTGGTGCTTCCTTGTATCAATATTTATGTGTTTAAATAAATTTAGATAAATGATTTGATTAACACCTTTAATTGTTTTAACTATAATAAGTCTGGTTCTTTCGCAAATTATAAAATCATAACAACTAAGTTTATCCAAGAATGAACATATTATTTCCGATCACTTAATAGCTGCAGCCCCAAATCCGTCTAGTAGCACATGTCCATTTAATTTTCTTTCAGATTAATTCCAAAATTACTTGGTATTTTATGAATTCGTGTTCCTGTGAACCGTATTTTCGAGGTTGTCTTTTTAATTGTTACTGAAATTACAACTATCTCGACCCCTTTGCTACTATTTATCTAGCTGACTTTATCGTTGTATTATGGTATGACAACTAGCTAAAAAAGGCTCATGTGAGATCTATACTGATTACGACTGGTTGATATTTTCTCCGCAAAATGTCATCCTTTGTGAGTATTTATATATAATTAAATAAATTCGTGTTTAACAACCTTTCAGTATGTTTGTGATCATTTCCAGCCAGTTGTTTATTATAAGTTTATCATAACATTCTTCTAGTTTGACTTAAGTATATATATATATATATATATATATATATATATTTAATTTATTTAGACACATAAATATTGGTACAAGGAAGCACCAGATAAATATGCGCCTCACAAATCTCATTCGATTTGTGCGAGGGCTGAAATACTGCCCAGGTGCCCAGACTGAAGCAGGTGGTTTTCTTAGGGGACCACACCCGGAGCCTTTGACCTGAATGTCTGATCCACAAGGCAGTGGAACATCGTGAGGAGATGCAGTCCCATGGTAGCCGGTGATCAACGGTTGATTCGTACGCCATTTGTTCCCTCAGGATACTGGAGCCCATGTGCACCACTGATTTGGAATCAGGGTTTTCCAACTCCCCTAGGTGAACTTTCCATGTCCACCAACCCGGTTAAAGCGCCGGACATTCGCTTTTCGTCCTCTCACATACGTAAACAACACCCCCGCCACGAGAAGGCAGTGAGTAGGACTTCCCTGGCAGAGGCTACATATTCGCTGGCCATATGAGAGCATTACGAGAGGGAGAGGTGACTCTCCACTCTCGGCCGTACCAGGGCATTTGGGGGCCTATATATATATATATATATATATATATATTTGGCACTAAACTTATTAGTCAATCATAAATAAAATTATTAGAAATCTCAGAATGATAGAGGTAGTAATAGTATGCATGTTAATAAAAAAATACTGGGTATCAAAGGTGAAATTAAAGATAATATGAACTTTCTAAAGAACTGTGACCCTAAAAATGGAAACTTACGCGGTGTTTTGTAAAATTCTCAAGAACTAAACGTTTTGCGTCTTTTTCAGTAGCTCCATAATAAAAATCTGTTCGTCTGGAAAGGAAGCCAAAAAAGGCATCCAGCAATCCCTGTACTCCATTATCACAGCTTTGTGCAACACTCAGGAAAACGTTATCGTACTCCATGATAGAAAAAAAGCTTGAAAATGAAGATATTGTTTAATTATATGCCTTATGAGTACAAATCAAAAACTCGATATGCAACACTAGATTATATTGTGTAAAACTAATTAAAAGCCATTAACAGCTCGCTCAGATGTAAAACTGGAGTTCACTGTCCCAAAGGCACCGATTGTTTCCGAAACCAATATGACATGATCAAGCCAGCTGTTAACAGCAATACGCAATTTTCGTAACTGCTGGTTTCTATTGCCAACAGTGATAGGGGCAGAAAATGTACAGATGAGGTCGGACCCCTTTTGATCTAATTGTTCTTTAACTGTAGATCTTGAAGGAGAAGGATCCACGGAAAGTGAACGCATAGCAACCTCTGCGAAGCTTGGACTGTCAAATGAAACGCTGACAGAAAGACGATGTTCATCAGATAACAGTTTTGTATCACTTAGAGCCATCGAGTTCTTTGTCATCGGTAGATCTAAAAGATATAGCTATGCAAAGAAACGTACAATACGGAGTTTTTCGCTTCTTGGATTTCCCGGCGCACGTTTTCACCAAGCTTCTACAAACTTGAGTTTAGTAACTTGAGCAAACTACTTCACGTTCAAGAGCTTGAGAAATATGTACACCTACGAATGTCGAGAATGCAAAGAGACACGAAACTCCTAGAGTGATTTTGGAAGCAGTTGACATGAACCTTAAAAAGGTAATGTAACAGCAGTGTTCCGTTATTTAGATTATATATATTCACATAAGAACATTTGAAACAAAATTCTCGTGATGCTGACACAACTTAATGGTTGTAATCTAGTGACCTAGTAGTGGAAATTCTCGAGTGATGTGAAATTTTGATCCAATGCTTCTTAAGGATCCTAATATAACAGCCTTTAAATGAACATGAATATCCTTGCGTCATTTGTGTTAAGCTGGATAATATGCCTTACTACCGACAATTCTAATACGTCTAACTGTGCATTAATTAGTGAATAAGCATGATTATTTACTTAACTGTTATACATGAGACAGTAACCTGTCTATATGCGGATTTGGCAACCAGGAAGAGACAAAACTAATTAAATTGTAACGCAGATGTATAAAACATTAAGTAACAATGCCATTAATAACGATTAACATACTATGAACGACTTTGGGCGTACAAAAGTAATTTAGGTCAAAATTCGATCACTGCTTTGTTTTGGGTAGACAGTGTATCTCAGTGTTGCTGACTGTACGAGAAATTTAACACGAGATGTCAGTTGGTTATTAGGGGTTAAGTCGACTTGGCAGGGGAACTGCAAAGGCCGACGCGGGACAGTTTAGGGTTAATCATGCAAAGTAAATTTATTTTTAGAAGTTACCATAAAATACTAAATGCAAGATGGTGGGGTTCGATCTGTAGAACCTGCTTTGTATTTAGCAAGATTGAACTGCTGGGTGCTAGTCAAACGATATAACAACAGTTTTAAAGGCCTGGAAGTCAGAGGAATGCTATTCATGCTTCAGGACATACTTCACATTTGAGATGATTTTGCACAGTAAGATCTTGAGGGACAATATAGCCTGGTTGTCTCAAGACATTAACAGTTGAAGTGAAACCAAAGGAGTATAATTCGTGAGGGATAAATGAGATTTTAATGATTGAAATCATGAGTCCATCTAAGCCAGACCACCACTGAAAACCTGGAAGCATTTCGTCCAAATATGGAACTTCTCAGTAGTGCTCATCCACGATCCCTTACGCCGGATTGGAACCCAGGACTTTTGTTTTCTCGCGCGAACGCTTGACATCTAGACCACTGGGCCGACATCAAACGGTGCTAATGTCTAACTTCAACCGACCCATGACCTTGAGCAAACCGTCATCCATTGTTTGAAGTGGATAACTGTCTTTATAAAGACAGTCGGGTATACCCTACACAGACTGGAACTAGAAGTAGGGGATAGCCATGAGTCACTCTGTAACATAATTAGCCAAAGATTAGATGGACATCTTTACTGCACAAGTGGTTCAAAATGGAGAAAACTAAGTGAACCTTAGTCTCCTTATAAAGATTTCCCAACTAAAACACGCGGGGTTCAGCACGCTGTGGAAGATAAGCACTTAGCAATTTTATGAGCCGATAATCGCGTCTTTATGCCTGAAGGTAGTATCTGCCGGATCCTATTGAATGTATATTGTAAATGTTGTAAAAAGTGCACCAGGTAAACTGAGCACGGCGAGTATGCGGTCAGAAGGTCCATTGGGGCAAAACGCCATCAAATAAAAGATTCGTCGCAACGCGGTTTTCAGTGACACCCATGAAACACTGAAGAGAACTTCTATGATGCTTGAACTGGTTAGACAATAAACGATCGAAATCCGTGAGTAGAGGAAGTGTTAATAATTAGCTTTTCTATAATTCCTAGAAGGCTATGATCATTTATTATTACTATTATAGTTTGTTCGAACTTCTACGTAAAGAAACCTATTGGTCCCTGTAGTACTACAGGTATATGGTACTATATCAACTAACTACAATGTATATATCTATTAGTATGCAAAATCTACGAAAAAGGTAATTCCTCAATAATTTGATTTTAAAATTCTGTTGAGCGATCCTATACTTAGAAGTGAAGCGACGTTAGCTAGCTACCTTACCTACAGTCAACACATGTATTTAGCCTGTTTGATAAGCGCCAAACAAATAGTGGACTTTCCAAACAAATTATTTAAACTTCAAAGCATACCAGGTAGTAATAACAGCCTAATTCTTCCTTCAAATCAAAATCTGAGTAGAAGTGATTTATTTTTTAATACTTAAATATACAGTATTATCACTTGTCCTTAACGATAATTAAATTTAATGGGTTTTTTATAACCACAATAAAAGACCACATCGTTTTCTTTTATGACGATCTATGCATATTCATACTTGTATTCAACGCCTATTATTTATTTGCATCAATCGTGAATACTTACCTACACCCATCAACCCTTGTTAGAATGTAGGTCGCCGACTATCAAACTATAACCAATTCCATCCTATGCTCTCCTTCCCACTTGTTTCTTGTCGCTTTTCATCTTTTCGGTGACTGTACCGATCTCCTAGCACTATAGGCTTTTGGGTCTGCCTATTTTTCTTTTCTCTTCTAGATTCCAAGTTAACTCATGCCTTGAGATGCAACTTGATGGTTTCCGCAATGTATGTTCCATCCATCTCCGGTGTCTTTTCCTAATTACCTCCTTATATGGAGGTAAGTTTCTTCTCGCCTACAGCAGGTTGTTGCCGAAAGTATCTGGCCAACGGACATTGAGTATCTTTTGTAGACAATTGTTTACAAATACTTATACCTTTCGGACGATACTTGTGGTAGTCCTCCAAGTTCTAGCTCTGTACAATAGAACTGTCTTGACGTCCGTAGGTGTCTTTACTAAGTTTCGATTCGGTAATCTGAAACAAATTTAGCATTGGGTAGATTGTTACTAACAAAAAACGTTTATAATATTCGATCGAGTAGAAAAACCGAATATTTAAGTTCCTCGACGTTTCGTGACTCAGTGTAGGCCAGTTCATTAGAGATTATATAAATAAAATAGTGGGGCCTTCTTTCCTGCTGAGGGCAGTAGGATTAAGCAATATATAGAATGCTTCAAACACTCGTATTTTTTGTTGTTGGAAAAGCCTCTTTGTATTATTTTGGTGTGTATAATATCGACTTGGTGGTTATTAAAAATGGAATGAACTGCTATTGATATTCGTATTGAACATTCTGACTTCGGTGTCAACTGACAATTATTTCAAGTTACATATGTTCTTCAGCTGTAGGAATTTCGTCCATTATTTACATATCCTTCAATTTGCATCTGCATCAGTTCCCCTTGTTCATCGATGATGCTGCCCAGGGACGTGGAATTTCCACCTCTTGAAGAGCTTCTCCACCGGCAGCCTGCTTAAATATCTGGGCTATTTATTTCTTCCATCTAAATATTTCAACAAGTTATCTGTTTTTACTTTGTTTTTATACCTCTTTATGTCTATTTATCGCATAACCTATACAGGCGCGTTTATCATAAGCTTCCAAACTTTTGGTGCACAAGTTACAAAACAGTACACTGAAAGATATCATGGCGACTGGCAATATACACTGAAGAGAATAAACATTAATCGTATGTCAACTCCCAAGCTTCTAAACCCTAACTGCTGATCAATAATTAGTCACTCAGTCGGTCACAACATAAAACTTCGTAGGTACGTACATCAGTTTGAGTTGCCATGTCATTCAACATCTCTAACCATCGATTGCTATCATCTCGCGAATCCCAACCAGGTAGTCTAAACCGACCAACATGGCTCAGTCCAATTGTCAGTGACTTCATTGATTTGTGCCACGTTTTGGTCTGGCCACCCCTAGCTTTCTTCCAACCTACTCCTACACCATGAAACATTGCACGTCGAGGTAGTCGGTGGTTGGGCATACGTAACACATGTCCCAGCCATCTCAACTCATGACGTTTCACCACTTCATCAATCGATTTGTCATCCTTACCTAGTACTCGTTTCCTAACAACTACATTACTTACCCGGTAGTCCCAGGATATACGAGCAATGCGTCGAAGACACCTGTGATCAAAAACTAGTAACCTACGAATATCCTCTACTCTTATTGGCCATGTTTCACTACCATAAAGTAGAACGGAACGAACTGCTGCACAGTAAACCCGTCCTTTGGTTGCTAGACGGATATCTCGCCTACGCCATAAATGACGGAAGTTGGCGAAAGCTAGACGTGCCTTCTGTATCCGTGCTGAGATTTCGTCACACACGAGACCACAAGGGCTAATGAGACTCTCAAGGTAAGTGAAGTGGTCTACACGCTCAACTACTTCACTCTCTATCATTAGTTCGGGTGTTGCTGCAACCCAATCCTGAAGTAACATTTTGCACTTCGAGGGAGAGAATCGCATTCCGAACATGCCTGCATAGTTGCTTATAGTGGTCAGAAGACTCTGCATGTTGCGTCCTCACCAAGTAAAACTATGTCGTCGGCGTATTCTAAGCCAATAAGTGAGCCTCCCGGTAAAAGTTCAACTCCTGGAGGTTTAGCTGATGAAAGTGCTATCTATAAAAGTATGTCAACGACAAAGTTAAACAAGAATGGGGAGAGTGGACAGCCCTGACGAACACCACTTGAGGTAATCAGTTTTGATGACAGTTCGCCATTGGCTCTAACTCGACCAGTTGTGTTCGAGTAGAGAGCCTTTATGAGGTTAATGTACTTCTTTGGTACTCCTTTCACTGACAAACACTGTCATAGAACCTCACGATCAACGGAGTCAAATGCCGCCTTAAGGTAAAGAAATACTACTATTGTGGGACGTCTGAATGTATGTCTATGTTCTAGGACCTGACGTAGAGTGAATATCTGGTCTATGCAACCACATCCAGGTCGAAAACCAACCTGGTTTTCTCTAGTCTGCTTTTTATGAGCT